CATAGCCCAGTGTACTCTTGAGCCAAGTCCAGAGAACTTCTGGGAAAACTTCAAAAAATATCAAACCCAAGTCAAAGACTTCTGAAGCTTAGTGGACTTCTGGCGTGAAATTGGAAGACTTCGGAGGCAGATCCAGCGAACTTGAAGGAAAAGTTTGTGGAACTTCTAGATCAAGGCAATGGCTTTTAAGCCACGTTCAGGAACTTCAGAAATTAAGCCCGGATAACGTCAAGACTCGAATAGTAAGGTCAAGTCCAGGAAACTTGGATACCTTCTCTAACACATCATTCAAATCTTCAGGAAAGGACTTCTATGAATACTCAAGAGATCTTCAACATGGGCAATCACCAGAGAACCTTTGATTGAACCACATCCTAAATTAACCCCGGGAGGCGGCGCCGGTGGTGAAGCGTGACTGCTTTCTCACCCCGATGGGTCTGGGTTCAATCCCAGCCGAAGTCGGTGTCGTCCTGCATATTTGATTGCCGTCAATGGATGACAATCGATGTCCGTCGGCGATTGGTACTAGATTGCGGAACACAGATCGACGTTAAATAAAGGAAAGAAGATTAACCCCTAAGAATTCCAAGACGTCTAGACCAAGTCCAGAGGACTCATAGGACTATCGAAAAAAAAAATATAAGAGAACTTCGAGATTAAGTAAAAGACTTCTTAGCGAGTTGGCCAGTAACGCTCGGTAGATTACCTTTTCGTGGTGCGTTGCTGGCATAGAGATCTACCCTTGAGGCCTGGTCTAAACTACTTCAAACTAGGAGAAAATAATTGTTTTTTTAATCAAAGGAACACATCTTAGTCCATTTTACTTTGCATGCCTTGTTGACTCGGCTTTGTACACCGAGGATGATCTTGAAACAAGAAAAAAATTAATTAGGTGCTTATTTTTTATCTACATGATTCCTAATCTTTTATTCGCTGTTCTCTAGTTTGAAGTGGTTAAGACTAGGATTCTGATGCATGGTGATTATTGGTGTTATTGCTTGATTTTGTTGCTAAGGAAACTGTTTTTGACTGCAAACGGGGCGCTCCTTTGGAGGGTGTTCCAACACTCCACAGGGTATAAAGAGTGGGAACGTCGGATCCTAGTGATAATAAAGGCAAGAATGCCAACTGTATCAAAACCGATTACTTCTTCGTTTCTCAAAAGTGATGGACTTTAAGGTAAAGGCCTGTGGGATTCTGAGTCTATAATAGAAGTTATGTTGTTCAGAATACTTCCACGCCAAATTTGGAGGTCTTAAAGGCAAAAGTCGAATGCACTTCTGAGTCAAATGCAGGAGACTTAAAGAAAAAGTTCACAAAGCATTGAAATCAATTCCATGTCTTTTAGCAGTTTAGAGGAGTTGGAAAATTGAGTCTAGAAAACTGCTAGAAAAAAAAAATCAAAGGACTTCTGGGTCACGTCCATGGAACTTTGATGCCATGTTTAAAACTTTTCAGAGCAGTCCACAGGACTTCTAGGAAAACTTCAGGGAACTTCGAAGTGCATAATTTACAGGGGGCATCTGAGTCCGGTCTAGGAATTTTTCGGGTTGGAAAATTTCTCGACTTCCCTGGGCATAGAAGAATGATTGGACTTGCCATACAATTATACCAATGCAAAAATGGTACAGGCATCGAAAGCTCTCAATTAATAACTGTGGAAGTGCATCTAGAACACTAAGTTGAGAGCACGCAATAAGCTAATATGCGATATGCAATAAGCTTGAAATGCGAAGAAGAAGAAGAAGATCTGAGTCTGCCTGAAAGGACTTCTAAGCTAAACCTAGATAAATTATGAAACATGTCCACAAGACATCAAGGACGTATTCGGTGGACTCGAAACTTCTGTATCAAGTCCAAGAATCAAGCCTATGCTCTGAACATTTCGAAGGCAAATTTAGAGGACTTGCAGCAGAAGTTCAGATATCCTTATGGTCAAGTCCATAGATAAGGGAACATCTGAGCGTAGTCTAAAGGACCTCAGAGAACTTCAATGCACCTAGACCCAGTTCGGACGTCTTCAGAATTAAGTTAAGATGACTACTAAAGGGTGATACGGTCAAAATTTGGTCAATATCAACTTGACGTATTTCTTTCAATTTTGCATTTAAAAAACCTGAACACCCCTCATTTTGAAGGTGTGTGTGTGTAGAATGTTGCTCCTATTTTGATTTTGGAATTCACTCTTCAGTTGTCAAAATGCCGTCCAAGCAAGAAGAGCAGCGTATCAAAATTTTGCTCGCGCATCGCGAAAATCCGAGCTACTCGCACGCAAAGTTGGCAAAATCGCTAAAAGTTGCCAAATCAACCGTTACAAATGTAATTAAAGTGTTTGGGGAACGTTTGTCGACAGCCAGGAAGTCTGGATCGGAGGGAAATCGAAAACCGGAAGCCGCTGAGACGACAAAGAGAGTTGCCGGTAGTTTCAAGCGAAACCCTAACCTCTCTCTCCGAGATGCCGCAAATAAGCTGGGTGTATCGTCTACAACCGTGCATCGAGCCAAAAAACGAGCCGGACTATCGACTTACAAGAAGGTAGTGACTCCAAATCGCGATGATAAACAAAATACGACGGCCAAAGCGCGATCCCGGAGGCTGTACACGACGATGCTGACGAAGTTTGACTGCGTGGTAATGGACGACGAAACCTACGTCAAAGCCGACTACAAGCAGCTTCCAGGACAGGAGTTTTATACGGCAAAAGGAAGGGGAAAGGTAGCAGATGTTTTCAAGCACATGAAACTGTCAAAGTTCGCAAAGAAATATCTGGTTTGGCAAGCCATCTGTACCTGTGGCTTGAAAAGCAGCATTTTCATAGCTTCCGGGACTGTCAACCAAGAAATTTACGTGAAAGAGTGTTTGAATAAACGTCTGCTGCCTTTCCTGAAGAAACACGGTTGTTCCGTACTGTTTTGGCCGGATTTGGCATCTTGCCATTACGGTAAAAAGGCCATGGAGTGGTACGCCGCCAACAACGTGCAGGTGGTTCCCAAGGACAAGAACCCTCCCAACACGCCAGAGCTCCGCCCAATTGAGAAATACTGGGCTATTGTAGAGCGGAACCTAAAGAAGACCAAAAAAACTGCTAAGGGCGAGCAGCAGTTCAAGGCAAACTGGCTTTCTGCGGCGAAGAAGGTGGACAAGGTGGCTGTACAAAATCTGATGGCAGGGGTCAAGCGTAAGGCCCGGCAATTCGGATTTGGAAAAGCGGAATCCTAACTGAATATTTTTCCTGAATTTTATACTAATTGAACTTGAAAAAGAAATTTAATTTGATTTTTTAAATAAACGATTTCACAGATTTACACGCTTTTTCCCTTGACCAAATTTTGACCGTATCACCCTTTAGCAATAATCTAGAAAGCCTCTGAGACAAATTTATAGAATTTCAATGTTATGTCCAAGGGACGTCTGAAATTTAAGCCCATATTCAGACATTTTTTTGACCAAGTCGAATACTTCTGGACAAGGTCCCGAGGACTTTGAAATAAGCTCAGAAGGTTTTTAAGAAAAGTTAGAAAAATTTCTAAGGCTAGGTCAGAGGACTTTAAAAAAACTTTCATGGTATCGGAATGGGAAAGCTTACTTCTGAACGAAGCCAATGAACTTCTGCGTTACAATCATACCACTTTTGGAAAACTTGAACAGAATACTTCAAGCTTATGTTCAGAAAGCTTTGAAGTCTAGCTCATAACATCTTGATCAATTTCATAGTTCTTCAAAAGCAAGCTTCATAAGACTTCTAGCAAATATTTAGAATGTCGGAGCACAGAGTACTTCTAGGATATCAAGACAAAAAGATTTAAATTTGCAGGTGTTTTCCAACGGAAGGTGTTGCGTACCATCTGTGCAAAGTGCAGATGGATGACGAAACGTGCAGGAGGCGAATTAACCACGAATTGCACCAGCTGCTTGGAGAACCATCCATCTTCCACACTGCAAAATTTGGGTGACTACGGTGGGCTGGACACGTCGTAAGAATGCCGGACGACGACCCAGTGAAAATGGTTCTCGAAAGCGACCCAACAGGAACATTGGGGGCAAGGTGGATCGATCAAGTAGAAGGCGACCTGCGGACCCTTCGCAGACTACGAGGCTGGCGACGTGTGGCCATATTGGTGGCCTCAAATGGACAATCGGACAATCGGATTTGCTCAAAAGTTTACGGTCACCCACATTATATCAGTTTGCGTTGCATTGACGTAAATTTGACAGTTAGACAATAGATATAGCTGTCACTTTGCCACAACGCATCAGATCCGGATCAAATGTTGGTGGCCCTTTACAATAGGTACAACTAGCGTTTCCTTCCCGGTACATCCCGGGAAATGTTCCAATAATCATGTTTCCCGATACACGGGATTTTTTTTTCAATTTCCCGGAGAACAATTTTAGAAGTATTTTTGGGTGAAAATTTTTAGAACTTTCCCAGAAGAATCACAACAAAAATCTAAGGAGAAAGTTTGCAGAAACGTCCAAGGGAAGTCCAAAGATTTTCCTAAAGAAAATCGGAAGAATGTGATGTCAGAGGAATTTTCTTAGGGAAGTCAGAAGAAATTTCGAGGGAGTCCAGAAAAATCTTCCTATGAAATCCTGATGATTTCACATTTGTATGCAAAGCCAAAAATACTTATCATGGAAATCGGGAGAAACTTCCGGAGATGTCGGGGTAGCTAAAAACGATTAAATAGAAACTTCCAATGCCATTCTAAGCCTCTCCTTCGCATGGTAGCACAGGTCATGCACAACTTTTCGATGCGTCTCATGTTTGTCAATCTACGATTAAATAGTCAGTACTTATTTAAGCTTCTCCGTGCGCTCACTATTCTTGTCGATATGCATTCTTGAGAGTTCAACTGAGCAACTTTTGAAAAACAATTATAATACTATTGATTTTGAACAAAAACTTTTTTTTTAAATGGATTCTATATAAGTAGATAATTAGTCTGTCTTTTCATGAAAAAAAAAATCATTAAATTAAATTTGAATATATTTCTTACCTTGTGGTTCGAATGTTCGATGCTATCAGTTTCTTTTGTCAGCAATAAAGAAAATTGATGTGGTTACGTGCGGTTCCAACGAGTCAATACTGCATTCACAACTCAGCAGCACGTGTCGGTTGGATCGCGCACTACTCATGCACTCACGTTCGCTCTGATCTCGTAAACGTCTTTCCTCCCCTAATCACGTCACACTTCACAACTCACACCGTCTATTGCTAGATTAGCTCCGGACGACAATTTGCTGCATTTCGGTTTTACATAAAACACTTTATTTTTAGCCACAACAACACCAGCAAAACGCTCTTCTTCCTGAAGTAGAGTCCGAAGTAATGCCTTTCTGGGACAGACACGGCGCAGTGGCACTCTCCTCGTCTCGTTTCTGTGATGTTCACAATTTTTCTTCCCCGTCTGCTCCGAGGGAGGGCCTTCTAACCATCAACAGTGGTGATGACGACAAGACAACGGCAATGAGCACTTTTCTTTCCTTATGTTTTCCGTTTTTCTTCGGCAGCTCTTCTCGACAGCATATACCCTCCTCATTTGCACGAGAGTCGTTGGAAGCACAAATTTAAAACTGAAATGAAAGCAAAGAAGCATTGTCAAAAATAACACCAAGAAAATTGCATTCATTCAAAGGGTGGTGGCGATGATGATGTTCACAACTCCGCCCGCGAACACTTTTAGACATCTGTTTTTAGAAGGTTTCCCGTCTATAATGCAATTATTATTCAATCATGATCCAAACTCCGCCATTCCGTGCTTAGCCTAAGTTTTCCTCGTTGTAATAGAGGCATAAAATCTGTTGAGTATCGTTGTTGAAGGGCTACCTTGTAAGTGAAATCATTTCAGTGTTATTTCCGCTAGCTATTCATATTAGCTTTGAATCCGCATTTAGGAGGATCGGAAACCCTTAGATTATGGGAAGATTGCAAATAAAAGTTTATTATTAGTTAGCATCTCAAGGATGCCCTTGAGGTTTCTACCTTTGGAAAGGGCACCATCGCAATCGCCAGATGATTGAGCGGTAGCTGTATCTAAGTCGACAGTGACAGCGTCTCCAGCTATTTAACTACTTTGTGTTGAAGATGGGATATGCGTTTCTAGATTAACGAACTCGTGTTCAGTCGGTCGTGTTTGTGCGTGAATCGTTCATATATAATTTGTAATTGATTTGTGTGGAATATGATGTTTTTACCGATTCGAGAAGGAACTTTAGTTCGGTTCTGTTAATGTGGATAATTTCTTTTTTAATTGATTGATGAAGAAAATCGTGACTGCTGATGCGCAACAGGCACTATGTTAGCTGTAATTTATAAATCAGACAAGTGTTGTTTTTTTTATAACCATCCAGATAGGGAGAGATCGTCATTCAGAGCGGTAATTTAGGTACTAGCCTACTTGTACGATTCGAGAAGCACGTCGGGTTCAAAAAGTGTATTTGTTTATCACGTATCCAAAGCAAAATTCGATCGCGTACGTTGAAAAAATAGTGAACTAGATTTTTCCATCGACATATGGACAGAGATTTGTTCCCGAATATCTTCTAGACACTATCGACGATGTGCGAAGTGACAAACCAGCCACTGGCTGAAATTCACCGTAATAAAGAAAAAAAGTAAGAGGTTCTATCCAAGCCACGACTCTAGATTTGACGTAGGATTGCGAAAGGTAGTTTTGATGTCTTCCAAGGATGTTTAGAACTTTAAAAAATCCAAAGTAAATTTTAAGATAATTTTAAATAATTCTAGGGATGACACCAAGATATATCAGTGAAAAAGACCAAAGCACAGACTACGAAAGTCTCATGTAAAATTAAGTGCTCTGAGGACCGATTTCTTCATCTCCGCTTAAATCTTAAGCCAGGTTTACCAATATAGTTAAACTTGGCTTAACACATACGAGCGTCGCTTTTGATTATCGTTTAAATTATTAGAGACGCAAAATTTAGCTCCGAAACAATTCCAATATAATTGAGAGTGCATTTTAACGAGAGTTCTGAGAAGAATTCTATGATGATTGGATGAGGATTCTAGGTCCAATTTTAATAAGAATTCAAAATTAGTTCTGAAATTTTGCTTATGTTCTGATGAAAATTCCTTCAAAATCCCGTGAACTCCAAAGATGGTTTCTGCGGATTGTTCTGAGGTGATTTCTGAAGATACTTCCAAGAGATTTCTAAAAAGTTCAAAATAAATTCCGAGAAGAATTTCAATGGAATCGAATTTTGAGGGTTCAGAAGAGTTTCATAGTTATTCTGTAAAGATTTTTTTTTAGAATTCTGAAGCAATACTATATGAATTCTAAGGAGAATACGAATTGAATTTCCAATTGAATGCAGGGGAGAAGTTCAGGATTATTCTAAGCAGAAATTTATGAAATTTCTGAGGTTAATTGCATGGAAATTCTAAGGAGATTTCAAATAAACTTAAAGTGGATTTATGGAAGGAGTCTACCGGGAGTTCCTAGAAGAATAAGTAAAAAATCGAAAATAATCTACTTTAACTAATCATGCATTATTGCTTCATGCGTGAATTTAACGATTTTCATAGTCGGAGATGCTTAACGTCAAATATCAGACTTGAAGTGCAGATCATCCCTTTTACCAGTCGTGGCAGGGGGAAACACCCCTCACCATCCCTCATTAATGGATGAGCTTGGTAAAGGAGATGCTCTACTCGATTCGTACCATCCTCAAAATTGTCCTTTGTTCGCTTTCTACTTTCTACGCTATATAAAAACTTCACACTGCCTTACTATAACGGAACTATCGACTTTTTACTTTCATATCTATCGTATAAAATGTCCACTTAAATTCAGAAATTTGATGTTAAGCATTTCCAACTACGACATTTCCAAGAATTTTGTTGATTTTTCTGCAAAGAATTTCAAGAATGCAATATTATTTTTGCAAATGCTTACTTGTCTCTAAGTTTAAGAGAAAAGGAATTATTCTAAAAAAGTTCTTGAGATCATTCTGAAGAAATTCTGTGAAAAGTTCTTAGCGAATTATCAAAGTTATCTACCTAGACATATCAATGTTATCATATCATTTTCATTTTGCAGCGTTTAGTGGGGCAATGGGAGCGCAAGTCAATCCAAAGCCGAGGTTAAAAGACGGGTAATGGCTGAATAGTCTATGCGGACCACTTGAACGCCATGGGAAAAGGAAGGGATTGAAGAGGCCGGTTATTGGGGGGTTTTGAGGAAATGACACAAAGTGATGCTAAATGTAAATAAACCGAAAATCTGATTTATCCTTTCAATATATACCAAATTGATATTTTAAAGCAATAATCAAAATAAACAGACAATACATGAAAAGGCTAGTTGCCAGTTGCTTTAAAGGCTAGTTGCCTCCCTAAGCGGACCCTCCGCATCCTAACTCTTCTGTTAATCCACTTAATGCTACTAGGCTGTCTAAATTTTCTTATTTAAGTTCGTTTGATGATTATGATATCTCTAGTCTAATTTAATAAATAATTGAAATCTCTAATCTACCTACCATGCTTTATTAAGTACCTGCACTATTAAATGTAATCTAAAATTTAACGTGTTTCAAGTTGTTTTTAACTTTGACCTATATTTAATATATATTAGTTCGTCCCAGGTGACACCTTCAAGTGACTAAAATGCTTCACTTTGAAGTTAGTTTCCTAGCTGATTTTTAAATTACATAGGGTATATGCTTCAACTACGCTCACACGTTTCCACTATGTCGCACCACAAAAATACATATGGGTATGTCACAATAGATACACGCCACAGTGGAAATCCCGAGCCATAGTTCAAACACTTATCCCAAATCAAAATGAAGCACATATAAGATTAGTTGCAATACCATGTACAAAAATGGCGTTTAACATTGTTCCCTGAGTAATACCTCAATGAAAACAACAACGAAAGCTTGTCACGCAAGTACAAGGAATACTGTTGGGCACTTTCTGAAATATTTCAATAGTATAATTCCCTTGCAAACGCAAATAAATCTATCTGCGTAAAAATAAATAAAATAAGAGTGATTTGTGGCAAAACCCGCCAGTATCGCACCTAACGTCAGTGCCTATACGTAAGCGTACTACAACGCGGCTTTCAAATACAGGAGTAACAAGTGTGATACTATCACTTCAGGCCAGAACTTTGGTTCTCTTATGCAATGGTTCATCAGAGAGGGGAAGCTCAGTAATCCTCATCGCATGCTCATGACGGCATGAGCCAACGATGCCGAACCTAAACCAACCGTCTCCAACGCTCTACTATGAAGCATAAGATTAGGCCCGCCCACCAACGTCCAGGTTAAAAAACTAGCCAAGGGGAGGGATCTACCTAGACATATCAATGTTATCAAATGTTTAAAATTTCGAACGCAGAATCAAATTCGAGTTCATAAAAAAATGGGAATTACTATTTGCTAGTCATCATGTCAGCAAAAGTAAATTATTCAAATCACTTCAAATGCTCTTCACAGGAGATTCCGTTGTGAGATTCCATTACATTAGAGGAATCTATGAAATTTGATATCAAGTTTCATGACATAAAAAGTTTATTTCAATATCAAACTGTATTTGAATTTCTTAGTAACCATATAAATGGTTACCTATTTAGTATTTACAAGTCACTAATTGGTCACTATTTCCGTAATTTTAGTCTCTAAAGTTACTACTATTATATCGCATCAGCACTACCAGCCCTGTCAGAGTCAAATAGGTCAGATACTTTGTTGAATTGATGAATCATGGCGAGAAAGGAACTGTTTGAGGCATAGTTGGTTGCATGTACTTCTTCATGTAGCAAGGCTCTTGGACGGAGTGTTCGGGCAGGAGCATACAGATTAATTTTGACCAGTAACTCAGGAACATTAAATTCTGCGAGCAAGACTTTAGCAACGAAGACGACCTGCGATATTTTTTTTTTTTTTTTTTTAACTCTTTATTTGTTCCAAATTCAAAATAAATTACATTTCATTTTTAACCTAGGTGCTCCAGTTACTACAGTAACTTACCAGCCTTAATTGTTATGATATATATCTAAGTGTTTTTACATTGTTCCTGTCTTGGCAATTCAGTATTTTAAACAGGTTTTTTAAACCTGCATGTTAGTATAACAATTGATAGCTTAAAACTAAATAACTAAAACTAAATCTTACCTAAGTATAAAGGGAATTAATCGTTGCAATTGAGGATTGTAACGATTTTTGCCGGAAATTATTAATTATTTTGTTGGACATTTGTGCTAAAGTCTCAACATTCGAAATTCTATGTACTTCGGTAGTACTGTACCAGGGAGGCAACTTCAAAATCATCTTCAGAATTTTGTTCTGAATCCTTTGAAGTGCTTTTTTCCTGGTAGTGCAACAACTAGACCATATTGGCACAGCGTAAAGCATGGCCGGTCTAAAAACTTGTTTAAATATTAGAAGTTTATTCGTCAGGCAAAGTTTGGATTTCCTGTTAATAAGAGGATACAAACATTTTATATATTTGTTACATTTGGCTTGAATGCCCTCAATGTGATCTTTAAAAGTTAATTTATGGTCAAGTATTAATCCAAGATATTTCACTTGGTTTGACCAGGAAA